CTCAATTATCCGATTTTCTTTAACTTTAATTGTTTCAATTTCTCGATCTAAATTTTTCGATTTTTTGATTTGCACTTTTTCAATGTTGCGATTTTTTGATATTACAGTTTTTTATTTTTCGATGTTTCTGATTTTCAATTTTCAATTTCTCGATTTTTTAATGTTTTATTTCCTCAATTTTTCAAGTTTTTGATATTATTTTTCATTTTTCCTATTTTATAATTTCCTTTTTCTCGATTTTATATCACAATTTTTTGATTTTAGATTTCCTTAATTTTTTACGTTTATTCAATTCTTTAAATTTTCAATCTTCGATTTTTCAATTTTTAAATTTTGCAATATTTGGATTTCTCAATTATCCGATTTTCCGATTTTTTTTAACTTACAAGAGTTATCATAAAAATCTGAAAATCACAAAATCGAAAAATTTGAATTTATTTGACTCCGACCAATTTTTGATATTATAACTTTTCATTTTTTCATTTTCTGTAATTATCTAATTATTCCATTTTTCATTGATTCGGTTCTATAATTTTTCGTTTTTTCAACACAAAATTTTCTCAATTTTTCAATTTCTCGATTTCTAATTTTTTCAATTTTTCGATTTGCAATTTTCTGATATTCCATACAATTTTTCAGTTTTCAATTTCCTCAATTATTCAAGTTCTTGATTTTTATTTTCCGACGTTTTTTTCTTGAATTATGTTACAATTTTTTGTTTATTCCGTTTTTATTATTATTAAATTTTCAAATTTTGATTATCCAATTTTCTGATTTCTTTCATTTTCAATATTTCGATTTTACAGTAATCGTTTTTCGATGTTGCATTTTTTCGACTTTTAGGTATTTCAATTTTTAATTTCGATTTTTCAATTTCTCGATTCTCCAATTTTTCAAGTTCTTAATTTCTGATTTTTAGATTTTTCAAAGTTTTTATTTTATTCTTTTTTCATTTTTGATTTTTCAGACTGTTGAAAAGTTGAAAAATCAAAAAACTAAAAAATTGGAAAGAATTGAAGCATCGAAAAACTGAAAAAAAAATACAAAACGCAAAATCAAATCTTATAATTTTTCAAAAAATCTGGATTTATTTAATTTCGACCAATTTTTTGATATTACAATTTTTAGTTTTTTCATTTTCTTTAATTATTTAATTTTTCCATTTTTCAATGATTCAGTTCCATAATTTTTCGTTTTTTCAACTTTAATTTTCTCAATTTTTAAATTTCTCTATTTAAAATTTTTTCAATTTTTCATTTCTTCAACTTTTCGATTTGCAATTTTTTGATATTAGATACAATTTTTCATTTTTCGATTTTTCATTTTCTCAATTTTTCATTTTTCGATTTTTTCAATTTTTCATTTTTCGATGTTTCAGTTTCTCAATTTTCAATTTTTCGATTTTTCAATTTTCATTTCCTCAATTTTTCAAATTCTTGGTTTTTATTTTTCATTTTCCCGATTTGATAATTTCCTTTTTCTTGATCTTATATTACAATTTTTTGTTATTCTATTTCTTTTATTTTTTTCGTTTATTGAATTCTTGAAATTTTCGATCTTTGATTTTTCAATTCTTCGATTTTCCAATTTTTAAATTTTCCAATTTTTGGATTTGTCAATTATCCGATTTTCCGATTTTTTTTTACTTACAAGGGTTATAAAAATATAAAAATCGCAAAATCAAATCTTATAATTTTTCGAAAAATCTGGATTTACTTAACTTCGACCAATTTTTTGATATCACAATTTTTCGTTTTTTCATTTTCTTAAATTATTTAGTTTTTCCATTTTCCAATGATTCAGTTCCATAATTTTTCGTTTTTTCAACATTAATTTTCTCAATTTTTTAATTTTTCGTTTCTTCAGTTTTTCGATTTGCAATTTTTTGATATTAGATACAATTTTTCATTTTTCGATTTTTCAATTTTTCATTTCCTCAACTTTTCAAATTTTTGGTTTTTATTTTTCATTTTCCCGATTTGAAAATTTTCTTTTTCTTGATTTTAGATTACAATTTTTTGTTTTTGTGTTTCCTTTATTTTTTTCGTTTATTCAATTCTTGAAATTTTCAATCTTTGATTTTTCAATTCTTCGATTTTTAAACTTTTAAATTTTGCAATTTTTGGATTTGTCAATTATCCGATTTTCCGATTTTTTTTAACTTACAAGGGTTATCATGAAAATATAAAAATCGCAAAATCAAATCTTATAATTTTTCGAAAAATCTGGATTTATTTAACTTCGACCAATTTTTTGATATCACAATTTTTCGTTTGTTCATTTTCTTTAGTTATTTAGTTTTTCCATTTTTCAATACTTCAGTTCCATAATTTTTCGTTTTTTCAACATTAATTTTCTCAATTTTTCAATTTCTCGATTTCTAATTTTTTCAATTTTTCGTTTCTTCGGTTTTTGGATTTGCAATTTTTTGATATTAGATACGATTTTTCATTTTTCGATTTTCAATTTTTCATTTCCTCAATTTTCCAAGGCTTGGTTTTTATTTTTCATTTCCCGATTTGATAATTTCCTTTTTCTTGATTTTATATCACAATTTTTTGTTTTTCTATTTCCTTTATTTTTTTCGTTTATTCAATTCTTGAAATTTTCAATCTTTGATTTCTTAATTCTTCGACTTTCCAATTTTTAAATTTTGCAATTTTTGGATCTCTCAATTACCCGACTTTTCGATTTTTTTTAACTTACAAGAGTTAACATAAAAATATAAAAATTGCAAAATCAAATCTTATAATTTTTCGAAAAATCTGGATTTATTTAACTTCCACCAACTTTTTGGTAACACAATTTTTGTTTTTTTTTTCATTTTCTTTAATTATTTAGTTTTTCAATTTTTCAATGATTCAGTTCCATAATTTTTCGTTTTTTCAACTTTACTTTTCTCAATTCTTTAATTTCTTAACGTTTCTTTCTATATCAAATTTTCGTCTATTCCGTTCTTCAGATTTTGATTATTCAATTTTCTGATTTCTTTCATTTTCACTATTTCCATTTTACAGTATTCGTTTTTTCGATTTTTAGGTATTTCAATTTTTAATCTTTCGATTTTTCAATTTCTCGTTTCTCCATTTTTTCAAGTTCTTAATTTCCGATTTTTAGTTGAAAAGGTGAAAAATTTAAAAATTAAAAATCGAAAAAACTCAAATATCGGAAAGAAAAAAAAAACGAAAAACGGAAAAAACTGAAAATTGCAAAATCGAAAAATTGAAAATCAAAGAACTGAAGACACGAAAAATCGAAACATTGAAAAACTAAAAAGTAATGGATCGAAAAATTGGAAAGAAGAAAAAACGAAAGGAATCGAAAAATTGGAAAATCGAAAAATTGGAAAATTGAAGAATTGAAAATCGAATAAATGAAAGTTTTAAAATCCAATAACTGAAAAATCGAAAAATTCTGAAATCATAAAATTGAAAAAGTGAGAGATTTTTACGCTTACAATTATTATTACATAATTATTTAAAATGAAAACCAGAAAAATTTCAAATCAAAAGTTGAAAAATCGAGAAACTGAAAAAACGAAAAATAAAAAGTCCAAAAGTCGAAAAATCGAAAAATTGAAAACCGAAAAATTGCAAATTGCAAAATTGAAAACCAAAAAAAACCGAAACCAATAATTGCAAATCGAAAATTTGCTAAAATGAAAAATTAAAAAATCGAAAAATTGAAAAACTAGAAATTGAAAATGCGAGAAGTTTTAAATTGAAAAATTGCAAAATCATAAATCAAAAAATTGAAAAAAATTAAAATTGAAAAAACAAAAAATTATAAAATCGAAACACTGAAAAATCGAATAATTGAAAAATTGAAAAACTGAAAAATTTGATCTTCAAAACTCGAAAAATTGCAAATCGAGAAACTAAAGAAACAAAAAATTATTGTCATTTTTGATCAGGGGTGAGGGAAGTTCTGTCGATCATTTTTTTTTATTATTAAAAATTCTATGTTCATTATTTAGTACGACGCACCCACTTTATTTAACATTTGAAAGGTTTTTTCATTTCAGTTTTCAAATTAATTAAGTACAAAGATTATCATCTTGTTTTGCTTAACAACGAAATCTACAAAAAGTCCGTGTATTATTGCTGCACAAAGCGAGATCTAATTCACTCCAGATTTTCCTTTAATTTTGTTTCTCTTTTTTGTTGTTGTTTTTTTGAACTGCTATCCCGCGAAAACAATCTCGAACATTCCTCGTTTTACAATCCTTAGGGAGCACAAAAAATTTGGATTACATTTCTCGATGAAAAAAAATCCATTTAACTTCATTTAGGCGGGGTTGGTTACAGCTAAAATTTGATTTTGCTTTATATTTGCTTTTTATTACCAAACTTAAAAAAATTACCGTTATGACGTTATGAGAGAATTTCAATTCCCACTTCGTTGTTTGTGTTTTCAGAAACTAGTGCTAGCCATTAGGGAAATTAGCGGAATTGTCGATAGGGAATTTCAGCAGATCTTCGTGCTTTGAAGCCCCTCGAGAACACACTTCTTAAAAACTTGGGACGTCTTTTCCGTCTGCAGCGGCGGCTCAAAACAGACAATTATTTTTCGAGACACCTGAAAATTTTACAAGAATACACCCCGAAATTTCCTCCCTTTGCAATTTTTCCCTTTTCAAGCGGCCCCGTTTAATTAAACTGCGCACTTTTCCGAACCTCCGTTGCATCTGGAATTCCCCCATAAATGCCCGCAGAATATTAAAGCAGTTTTCAGCAAATTACAATGATATATTCGGGCAGAGACAGCGCTAATTGAGCACGTAAACGGCATTTTTTCTTGGGTGAATTATCGCCGAAATACGTTCCTGTGTACCGGCGGCCAAAAATAGTGCTTTGTGCGATTTGGAGCGTATAATTGTGTCAGTCGTGAATTATAAGGGAGTCGCAACGTGGTCCTCTAATTTGTACCTGTACGTTCGAGAAGGTCCTCGAATAAGCGAGTTTGCAAGGATAATGAATAAGGTTGCGGTTTTGTTGCAGGGCGCGGGTGAAGAGCGGCGTGCGTCTGTTGGAGGCGGCGACCGCGGGGGATCCGGCCTGGAACATGACAGTGGATATCAACCTCCGGCAGACGGTGGCGTCCGTCACTCTGGTTCGAAGGGAGCCGCCGGATTCGGAAGTTGTCGCCTCCGAAGGAGAGTAAGTAGAAACACAAGGAGAATACGAGGGGGTTTTGATGTCACGATTATGCGAAACTTTTTTTGGTTTATTTTTAAACTCGTACATCAACTTGGGTTTATTCTCCGTAGTAGAGACATTATTTATACGTAAACAAGATTTTTTTCGTAATTTTTGAACATCTAGTTTTCTCGAACTCATTAACGCAAGTGCCCATGGATGGGTTTAATATTTTCGATAATAATTTTCAATCTTAAAATGGGACCATCAAGATACCTTATTTATGCATTTAGTTCGTCGAGATCTCTCTCCAAGAATTTTTTCTGAATTTTTAGACAACTCTGCGAAAAGCTCAATTTTTCAAAGCTTCCTTTTTTAATTTTTGAGTTTTTCTCGAGCACTTTCGAAAGTTAACAAAGGAAATTTTTTTGTTGATTTCAACCTCATGAAGCTTTTTATAACTTCAATTCCTAGAAAATTCCACAATTTTTCCAGAAACGTAAAATTGAAATATGACGAATTTTGAGATGGGTTAAAAATTTGACTTAGAACCCGAATATTACGAACACTAATTCTCGTATTAACTCGGGATTATTCTCCGTAATAGAGACATTATTTATACATAAACACAATTTTTTTTCAAAATTTTTGAACATCTAGTTTTTCCGAAATCGTGTAAATACTTCTTTAACACAAGTGCGCCCATGGGTTTAATATTTTCGATAATAATTTTCAACTTTAGAATGATACCATCAAGATATCATATTTATGGATTCAGTTCGTCGAGATCTCTCTCCCAGAATTTTTCCTGATTTTTTAGACAACTTTGCGAAAAGCTCAATGTTTCAAAGCTTCCTTTTTTAATTTTTGAGTTTTTCTCGAGCACTTTCGAAAGTTAACAACGGAAATTTTCTTGTTGATTTCAACCTCATGAAGCTTTTTATAACTTCAATTCCTAGAAAATTCTATAATTTTTCCAGAAACGTAAAATTGAAATATGACGAATTTTGAGATAGGTTAAAAATTTGACTTTGAAGCCGAATATTACGAACACCAATTCTCGTATTAACTCGGGCTTATTCTCCGTAATAGAGACATTATTTATACATGAACACAATTTTTTTCAAAATTTTTGAACATCTAGTTTTTCCGAAATCGTGTAAATACGTCTTTAACACAAGTGCGCCCATGGGTTTAATATTTTCGATAATAATTCTCAACCTTAGAATGGGATCATCAAGATACCAAATTTATGGATTTAGTTCGTCAAGATGTCTCTCCCAGAATTTTTTCTGAATTTTTAGACAACTTTGCGAAAAGTTCGATTGTTCAAAGCTTCCTTTTTTAATTTTTGAGTTTTTCTCGAGCGTTTTCGAAAGTTAACAAAGGAAATTTTTTTGTTGATTTCAACCTCATGAAGCTTTTTATAACTTCAATTCCTAGAAAATTCCACAATTTTTCCAGAAACGTAAAATTGAAATATGACGAATTTTGAGATGGGTTAAAAATTTGACTTAGAACCCGAATATTACGAACACTAATTATTCTCGTATTAATTCGGGATTATTTTCTGTAATAGAGACATTATTTATACATAAACACGATTTTTTTCATAATTTTTGAACATCTAGTTTTTCCGAAATCGTGTAAATACGTCTTTTACACAAGTGCGCCCATGGCTTTAATATCTTCGATAATAATTCTCAACCTTAGAATGGGACCATCAAGATACCATATTTATGGATTTAGTTCGTCGAGATCTCTCTCTCAGAATTTTTTCTGCATTTTTAGACAACTTTGCGAAAAGCTCAATGTTTCAAAGCTTCCTTTTTTAATTTTTGAGTTTTTCTCGAGCACTTTCGAACATTAACAAAGGAAATTTTTTTGTTGATTTCAACCCCCTGAATCTTTTTGTAACTTCAATTCCTAGAAAATTCCACAATTTTTCCAGAATCGTAAAATTGAAATATGACGAATTTTGAGATGGGTTAAAAATTTGACTTTGAACCCGAATATTAAGAAAACCAATTCTCGTATTAAATCGGCATTATTCTCCCTAATACAGACATTATTTATACATGAACACAATTTTTTTCAAAATTTTTGAACATCTAGTTTTTCCGAAATCGTGTAAATACGTCTTTAACACAAGTGCGCCCATGGGTTTAATATTTTGGATAACAATTCTCAACCTTAGAATGGGACCATCAAGATACCATATTTATGGATTTAGTTCGTCTAGATCACTCTCCCAGAATTTTTTGTGAATTTTTAGATAACTTTGCGAAAAGCCCAATGTTTCAAAGCTTCCTTTTTTAATTTTTGAGTTTTTCTCGAGCACTTTCGAAAGTTAACAACGGAAATTTTCTTGTTGATTTCAACCTCATGAAGCTTTTTATAACTTCAATTCCTAGAAAATTCCACAATTTTTCCAGAAATGTAAAATTGAAATATGACGAATTTTGAGATAATTAAAAATTTGACTTTGAACCCGAATATTACGAACACCAATTCTCGTATTAACTCGGGATTATTCTCCGTAATAGAGACATTATTTATACATAAACACAATGTTTTTCATAATTTTTGAACATCTAGTTTTTCGGAAATCGTGTAAATACGTCTTTAACACAAGTGCGCCCATGGGTTTAATATTTTCGATAACAATTCTCAACCTTAGAATGGGACCATCAAGATACCACATTTATGGATTTAGTTCGTCAAGATCTCTCACCCAGAATTTTTTGTGAATTTTTAGACAATTTTGCGAAAAGCTCAATCTTTCAAAGCTTCCTTTTTTAATTTTTGAGTTTTTCTGGAGCACTTTCGAAAGTTAACAACGGAAATTTTCTTGTTGATTTCAACCTCATGAAGCTTTTTATAACTTCAATTCCTAGAAAATTGTATAGTTTTTCCAGAAACGTAAAATTGAAATATGACGAATTTTGAGATAGGTTAAAATTTTGACTTAGAACCCGAATATTACGAACACCATTTCTCGTATTAACTCGGGCTTATTCTCCGTAATAGAGACATTATTTATCCTTAAACACGACTTTTTTCATAATTTTTGAACATCTAGTTTTTCCGAAATCGTGTAAATACGTCTTTAACACAAGTCCGCCCATAGGTTTAATATTTTCGATAATAATTCTCAACCTTAAAATGGGACCATCAAGATACCATATTATGGATTTAGTTCGTCGAGATCTCCCTCCTAGAATTTTTTCTGAATTTTTAGGAAACTTTGCGAAAAGATCAATTTTTAAAGCTTTCTTTTTTGATTTTTGAGTTTTTCTCGAGCACTTTCGAAAGTTAACAACGGAAATTTTCTTGTTGATTTCAACCTCATGAAGCTTTTTATAACTTCAATTCCTAGAAAATTCCACAATTTTTCCAGAATCGTAAAACTGAGATATGACGAATTTTGAGATGGGTTAAAAATTTGACTTTGAACCCGAATATTACGAAAACCAATCCTCGTATTAAGTCGGGATTATTCTCCGTATTAGAGACATTGTTTATACATAAACACGATTTTTTTCATAATTTTTGAACATCTAGTTTTTCCGAAATCGTGTAAATACGTCTTTAAGACAAGTGCGCCCGTGGGTTTAATATTTTCGATAATAATTTTCAACCTTAGAATGGGACCATCAAGATACCATATTTATGGATTTAGTTCGTCCAGATCTCTCTCCCAGAATTTTTTCCGAATTTTTAGACAACTTTGCGAAAAGCTCAATGTTTCAAAGCTTCCTTTTTTTTTGTTTTTGAGTTTTTCTCGAGCACTTTCGAAAGATAACAAAGGAAATTTTTTCGTTGATTTCAACTCCCTGAAGCTTTTTATAACTTCAATTCCTAGAAAATTCCACAATTTTTCCAGAATCTCATAATTGGAATATGACGAATTTTGAGATAATTTAAAAATTAGATTTTGAATCCGAATATTAAGAAAGCCAGTCATCGCATCGACTTGGGCTTTTCATTCCGAATAGGACCATAATTTTTGCTTAAACACGATTTTTTTCATAATTTTTGGACACCTAGTTTTTCTGAAATCGTGCTAAATGTGTGTTTAACAACAGTGCCCCTATGGCTTTAAAATTTTCGATTATAGTCCTCAACCTTGGACTGGGACCATCAAGACATCATATTTTTGGATTTAGTTTTTCGAAATCTATATCCTAGAATTTTACTAAATTGTTAGGAGACTTCACAAAAGATCAATTTTTCAATAGTCCCCACTTTGGAATTTTTGACATTTCCTCCAGGACCTTCGAAATTTAGCAAAATACTTTTTTTATTGATTACGATCCCCTGAAGTTTTTAAGGCTTCAATTTTTCAAAAATTCCCACAATTTGTCCAGAATCGCAAAAATGAAATGTGACAAATTTTGAGATAGATTAAAAATTAGTTTGAATCCGAATATTACGAAAACCAGTCCTTGTATTGACTTGGGTTTTCGTTCCTAATAGAACCTTCATTTTTGCTGAAACACGATTTTTTTTCATATTTTTTGGACACTTAGTTTTTCTGAAATCGTGCTAAATACGTCTTTAACAACAGTAGCCCTAGTTGCTTTAAAATTTTCGATTATAATCCTCAATCTTGGACTGGGACCATTAAGACATTATGTTTTTGGATTTAGTTCTTCGAAATCTGTTTCCCAGAATTTTTTCTAAATTTTTAAACAAATTCGTGAAAAGCTCAATTTTTCCGGAATGGGACTATTTGGCGCGGCCGACTTGGCGCGGCCAACTTGGCGCGGCCGACTTGGCGCGAGCCATTTTGGCGCAAGGCCAACTTGGCGCAGGGACACTTTGGCGCAAGCCATCTTGGCGCGAGCCATCTTGGCGCGAGTACGTCGGTATATAATATAAAAAATATTTATTTTTTGTACCGTGGTTTGCACTCTGTTATTTATGCTAAGTGTAGGCAACCAAATACACAGTTTCATTCGCACAAATTCCAATAACTAAATGATCCACGGAGCAAGAAGTTCCACGTTTAGGAGTAT